TAACATTCATAGTGCTAGGTTGAATTAAAATAAGTGGTAAAATCAAAATGTGAGCCAAAAATGGGGAGAATAACCTTAGGCATTTTCTTAGAACATTTCCAAGTACACAATAAATGTCTAAGACACAGATTCTATTTCTTCCATATGTCAAGACATAACTTTACAATTATGTAAAGATCATTTTGAAAGTCTCTAATCAAAAAATATAATCTATTTTTAAAGAGCTTCAATTTCACAGAATTGTATATTTCTCCTTTGCAGAATTTAATACTTGAAATGCATAAATGTTTAGAGATGTTAAATGGTGTTTAATAAAATATACTTTTTATTAATTGCTTATAAGCAAAATTCCAAAATTATTCCAACATTTTATGTATTCTCATAAATACTAGATGTTTCCTTTTAAACTAAAAAACAATGCATATATTAACTTCCATTAACAACAACAAAAGTAGGTTTCTCTTTCACCATCCAAAGGAAGCCCATAGTTAACATTATCAAAATAGACATCTGTAAAAATAAGCAAAAAATTTAATTCACATATATTCATAACTTTTCTAAAAATCAGGAACCAATGTAACAGGTGCTGTTACTTCATGTGTTCCAAGGTTACTAGTAAACACATTTTTATGGCCTGTCTTTTATATAGGGCCATATGTGTTCAGTAACTTACATTATTAATACTAAATATTAGTAGCCACGCAAATTTTAGCTACCTACAAATATATAACACTGAAAAGGAAGGGTTGTTTTATATTCACAGGAAAAGCAGCCAAGGAACTGACCTGTTTAATTCAAAAAATATTTATCAAGGGTTTTCTAGATCCATTAGCCATTCCAGGCACTTGTAATATTTCCAATGTATATAAAATTTCCAATATATATAAAAATGCCTGCCCTTGAATAGCTTATAATGGAAGGCAACTGCAACCACTCTTCTTATAAACACTAGAAACTGACTATATAATGTGATTTCTAAGTACAGATTACCACAGCTAGTTATCTATATATACATTTCACCAGACATATAAGACAGTTTAAAATAATGCCAAAAAAAATCAGCAAATAAATACATATGACATCAGGACTTGACCTGCATTTGTGGGTTTGATCACAGAAATCAGGAGTTTAACTCAAAATTACTTATTTGTAGGTCTTCCAATTCATTTAAACCAAAACATTCAATGAATACTAACTAGTAATTTTAAATCATAATGCAACCATAAGACTTAGAAAAACTGTTATTGCCCACTGGAATATAGAAGTTTCACCTTACCTGATCTCTAACACAAGTTCTACAATTACCATTTTTTTTAATCAGCTCACATGCCAGTTCTGTGATCTGCCCCATGTTAAGCAGCAGCATTTAAGCAAGCACAACTCCAACTCATTGCTACTCAACCTCAGTTCGAAGCACTATAAATTGCCTAATTAAACCAAACTTAAAGGTATATGCCTTTTCCTAGATGTTTCCCGAAGAAAAGTTCAAGCTGGGCATAAAACCTATGAAAGAGATATTTTGAAATCCCTTCTTTAATATCCATGATAACAATCAGGTGACTGGTTTTAAAACTTTTAAAATAAAATGTGAAGTGCTTATATAACTATTAGCAAACATGCAGCCTTGCAAATTATTAAGAAAAACATCAACACAAAGCAAATGATAGATAAAAAACTGTACACCTGAAATTAAAATAATGTATGTAGTCTGGGCCTCCCCGGTGGCGCAGCGGTTGAGCGCTGGGTTGCGAAGCTGCCTGCAGCCTCTGCAGCGCCGGTTCGATCCCTGGCTGCTCCCTGGCCACTAGAGGAGGGTCCCACATGGCGCGCAGACCTCTCCTGCCACCCGCTGCTCCCCTCAGCAGTGTACTTCGGTCTTTCTGCCTGCTCTGCTCCCCGCTCTGGCTCTGGTGAATTCTCTCACCCTCCCACGCTTCTGACTGTACCCAGTGCTTGTATAAATAAATAAACAAAAAAACAAAAGAGTTCTCCTTTAAAAAAAAAATAATAATAATGTAGTCTGCCAATTATACTATAGTAAAACAGGTCCAATACACAAATGAAAATATGCTCAATCTACCTGGTAGACTGTAAATATGTAAAAATAATATGTAAAACAGAAATAAATTTATAATAATAGCAGCTAGCATTATTTGCTCCTTAAGTAAGAGTGACTATGAAACAAAGACTTAATTACTTAATCAACAACCAAACAGAAACTACCTAAAAAAATAGGGAAAGTTTTAAAGAGGAAATGACATTTGAGCTGGTGCTTTGTAGAAACAAATTAACTAGACAAACTGGTGGTGAAAGGAACACTCAAAGATGGAGAGGAGATTAAGGCAATAGCATAAACAAAAACACCAAAATACCAATCCAGTTTTTATTCTAGGAGTAGGCTCGAACTGTGAAGCTAGAGTCTAAATGCATAATAAAAGTGACAGGTTATGAAACTACACATAGGAAGGAGGACAAAACATCAATAGTGTTATGCAGAAGGCTAAAAAGAGTGAACACAAATTATTTTTTAAAAGTTTAGTCATATGCTTTTTTCCTGTGCCTTTAATTTTCAAGGAAACATTTGATCAAAAACAGTAATCAATAATTAAAAATCAAGAATTCTTCATCCCTAATGAGATTTCTTTCAGACACAAGCATAACGCTATACAAAGTATGTTGCTTAGGTAGCTTTCCTAAGAGTATATCTTCTTAACACAAATCAGCAAATCAAAACTCTAAAAAAAAAAAATTGCCAACCTAGAATTCTTTACCCAGCAAATACATTATTCAAAAATGACATTTTCATACCAAAAAAAACTGAACTTGTATCAGCATCATACTCACACACAAGGAAACACTAAATGCTAAAGGACATTGTTCTTCAGACAACTGAGAAACACAGAAAAGAATAAAGAGCAATAAAAACAATTAAAAATGAACACTGACAATATAAAACAATATGAAATCTCTGCTGCTTAAAATGTGAATTAGAAGAAACAAAGTATATGACAAAAAACAATAGAGGATACAAGTACTAAAAAAAGAATAAAAGATTTCCATACACTTAAGAAAAGATTGACTGCTCCGTGACCATAAAGCAATCAACTATTTGAGGGAGTTTTAATAGAACAAAGATGAGTTTCACTGTTCACATTTTTGAAAGTGAGCCCATCAGAAACAGCCACATGTCTGAAATTCTGATAATCAAGGGTATCACTCAGGTGAACAGTCCTGTAAAATGATGAAATATTTACAAAGTCCCAGCATTTTAAGAAAACAGGATAATACATATCTTTATATTGCCACCCTTCACAATAATGGTACTCTTTTTAGATAATACACAAATGATGGAATAATAGGATACAAATATTGTTGAAATTTAACAGGAGCCATTATCTATTGCCCAGGAGCAATATCCTTGCAGCTCTGTGTTCTTTTTCACATCTAGCACTCAGGCACTACCATGCCCAAGAATAACATTTCTGTGAGAGTAACAATTAAAACATTCCAAATGGATGACTTCTCAACATGATTAATGAATTGTGTTCTAAAATGTCAGGTGACCAGTATAAAACAAAATCTTTTCTCTGACAACTGATAAAGGAGATTCCTAAGGATAATGTTCCTATTTATATCCACTTTACAGGCCATAGAATATCTTAATAGTTTGTAATTATGGACAACAAGAAGTAAGTACTTACACCAAACACTTCCTATCTCATCAAAATTATATAATATTACTATTTAAAATCAAGAAAACAGATTTTCCATTTCACATACTTTTTCTTCATATTTTTACTTGGTAATTAAAAAACCCAAAGCATTTAGTTAGTCCTGAAATGGTTTTAAAATATTTCTCTAACTGGAATACAATTATTTTCAATTAAAGCATTGTTCTGCCATTGGAGAATCATCTGATTTACATAAATGTTAGTTAGGTGCCACAAAAATTCTAAAAGTCACAAATCATTTAATCCATTCCATCAAAACAGGGATTATTTTAACATCTGTTTCACTTCCTTTTAAAAGAAATCCTATTTATTTTCTCTAACCAAAAAAAAAAAATTAGGATAAACTTACAATGTACTTCCCCAATCAAAATTGAAAATGATCTGGTTAACCACAAATTGGCTCATGTAGTCAAGTATTTTCTGAATGTATTTTATTGAAACATGGCTGACAACATATAATAATGTCATATAGTAACTGGGTTACAATTCTACAGAATTACAAATTATTTCACTGATTATTCTTAGTCACAGATAAAAAAGGTCTTTTTTGTTCTTATAAATTATCAAGTAAACTTGATGCACTGCTAGCTAAACTGAGCAATTCGCTAAATAGCTCCTTCACTTGATGTTAAAAAACCTAACGACAGAAAGCTATTAAGTAACACATTTCACTAAACTGAATTTATAGAAATAAAAATAAAAAAGTCACGATCTCATTCTATCACTTTCAAACATCCTGGTAATATTTGTGAAAATAAAGACAAAAATTTTTTTTCAACTATTTTATTGAGTTTAGAAGCAAAATTTCGACGGTCTGCAAGTAGAAATTTTTCACATCTGGGAGTCACACTCTCCCATGCCACCCACAGATTATAATATAGGATATAATGTAACATATTCTATATGATATACATAACATAAAGTAATACCATCAATATTATGACCTTTAGATAAAATTCTAGCTATGATTTATTTAATTAACTATATAAAGAACCTAAACACTAATTTCAAATAAAAAAGAAGAGTACCATGGTAGTTTCTCAGTGACTTAACAAAAATTATACCAAAAAATAAATAATCACATGATTCCTAACTTTGCTATACAATGATATGTGGCTAGTTTTCATACCTCTCACACCAGATCTCTTTATAGTATAAGATCCTTTATTTCTTCACAATAATGTTTTCTTTGTAACAAAATACTACGTAATCAAATTCTAAAACAAATCTTTAGAAATAAGATTAGCTAAACAATTTAAAAATACTTACTGTCTTGTTTCGTAATCTAATTATGTCCGAGACAGAGCCAGCTCCACAGTACTCCATAACAATCCAGAGGTCTGTGTTCTTAAAGTAACTGCCATAATACTTTACAACATATGGACTAAAACAAATATAGAGACAATCAAGCTTAGTTAATTCTCCCCCCCATTGTTTCTTAATCCTAATACAAATTTTTAACATTTCATAATGCTCCAATAAGTAAACTTCTATTATACATTAAATTGTTTGTATGTAATATTCACCAACTGTGTATAATTAGCCTTCAATTCATGGATGAAATTTAACAGGATTACAAATCAGAGGAGGCCCAAATAAGGCTCTGTTTTGGCAGACCACTTACTATTTAACATAATGAAAATATTTTCCTTTAAAACATCTCAAATATAAATCTTCTAAAGAAATTTGTATTTAGTCAAATGTTAACACTCAACTTTAATACATTCTATATTTCAATGAGGCAAAAAAAATTTAATTCTTTCATTCTGGCTTCTGAAAATGTTGGAGAAAAATAATTGTTATTTTTTGCTTTAAATCAGACAATTAAAATTACTAGCAGCACAGAGTATTTCTGAACTGAGGGCTTGTATCCTTAGAGCATAATAAATAATGTTTATAGCCAAGATGTTTATTTAGGAAGACTTTGAAAGGGTGGAATGGCCATTTCCATTAATACTTTTCTGTGGCTTTGCTACATACACTGATTTGTAAAACATCTTACTCAACTGAAAAAGGCGGAGTATCCATATTCACAGAATCAAAAAAAGATGGAACATACAAAGCAATACAAACTAAGTAGCACACAGTTTAAATGCTACAAGAGCTCAAAGGGGGACCTGACTGGCCATGGTGAAGCCATCAGATGGAACTTTACAGTAAGGGTAGAATTTTTAATTATGAAAAAAAGGTTAGAACTTCAAACTGTAGATAATCTATAAGGGAGGAAGCATATTTTATAAATTATTTCTTTCAACAAATATTTGAGAAGTACCTACTATGTATAAATCAATCTGCTACAAAATGGTATAAAATTTCTAGAATTTCATTCACATTTCCTTCTCCTTTTATTCTTACTTTCCTTTCCCCTTAAAAGTTTAAAGTAGATAATGAAAAAAAGAATTCGATTTCTCCGGGGTTCCCTCAACCTATAATGCTCCTCATACAACCATATTCATTCAGGGAAAGCTTAATTAGGTTTGCCTTTTTAAAAAATCACTCTAGATTCAGGGAAGAATAGGCTAGAGAAGGCAAAAATGAAAGACACAATAAACAAATAGGGAGCTGTTTCAGAGCAAGCAAATGCACAAAGGTTAGTGGCAAGAGACACATAATAGTAGTATCTGAGATCCTGCCTTTCCTCAGTCACATTCAAATAAAATCTGTAAAGTACCACACTAGTCCCTGAACTATTTTTAACCATAATAATAAAATCACTTGCTGGACCCAGCATTATACTACAATTTTCCACACATCAACTATAGGGATTGTTATCGGAAATCTGGCGCAGCGAGCGCTGGGTTGCGAAGCTGCCCGCGGCCTCTGCGGCGCCGGTTCGATCCCCGGCTGCCCCTACCAGGAGGATCCCAGATCCTGCCTCTCCTGCCGCCACATTCAGCAGTGTACTTCGGTAAAGTGCTCTGCTCCCCCTCTGGCTATTTTCTCTCACCCTAATAATAAAACAGCGACATGCATAATAAAAAAAAAACAAACCAACAAAATAAATAAATAAAATCATGCCTCTATAAAAAAAAAAAAAAGAAAATACATTCTTATCAAGTGACCAAATTAATAGCAAGGACCGGGAAATCTTTGTAATTATCTATTCTGGTCTGGAGGAATATATGCATTATTAATACCATTTGAATTTCCAGTTACACAGTTTTTATAGGAAATAAACAATATAATCTAAATATATAGCACACTCTAAAGAAAAACAAAATTGAATAGACCCAAGCGACAAAGTTCCTCTAGTATTTATTCAGCCCTTAATTAGCTAGAGTTTACAGTATAAGGAACTGTTGGAAGACAAAGTTGTCTATGTATCTCTTAACAATAGAGTCCTGATTTGATCAGGGGTGACAATGTATCCAGATTCCCCAACAACAACAGTTCTAAAGTCACCATCTGACTCAATTTTGATGCATAAAACATAAGCTGAGGGTATCTAGGAAAGTCCTTTCTCCTGCTTCTCCCCTTCTCTCTCCTGCTTGGAACATACATAGAAGACTAGAGCTAAAGCAGCCCTCCGATTACTACAAATCTATCTTCATCTTCCTTGAAGGATTAGACAAGAAAGTCAGACAAGAAAACTAAAAAAACAATGCATTTTACTATTCATAAATTCATTAAAATGAAAATAAATTTAAAAATTGCTTCATACCTGTCACATTGCTGCATTATTGAAATTTCTTTGATTATTTCCTGAAGATCTGATTCAACAGGTACTTGTTTAATTGCCACAACTTGACCAGATTCCTTATGTATTGCTTTAAATACACTTCCATAAGACCTAAAAAAAACAGACATTTTTAATTTTCCCCTTTCAATCATAGTTATCAGAGAAAAACGTGTTTCTTGAGTACTTTCTAGTTTAAAATAATGTTTAATGGTGACAAATAAGTGAATTTATATCTTTGCATAATTGTCTCAATTATAGATTTTAAAATCTATTAAAATCACTAAGTTAATGTAAAAATTTGTTATTCTTATGAATGAAAGAAACAGACTTACGGTTTGTCAACTCAAACAAATGCAGCATTAAGAAGATATAAATGGAAATTTAAGTAATGAAATGTAGATAAAAACAGCTAACTTCTCAAGTTAGTAGAAATAATTGATCTCACCTTAAACAAAATTATCCCCAGATATCAAAGTCCCAACCCTTTTCTATTTAGGAACAACTGAAAACATCCACTAGGGACCACCACAGGACAACAAAGTCAAAGAAGCAGTTTATCTTCAGTCATCTGGTCCTTGACTTATTGTTTCAAGGTCTTTTCAAATGCGTCTTTCACTATTGTCCTCTCAAAAGCAAGACAATACACTCATTAAAAAAATGAGTAGTAGAATATAATGGCCACTTGCCAGAAAGTCTCTGCTACACCTCTTGAAACTTTGCTAATTAAACATTCATGTGCTTAAAAAAACAAAAATAATAAGGAAAATATCTGTACTTTTGAATGAATTTTTAAAAAAAAGGTAAAAACTGATACCAGTTATTAAGCTTTCACTGTAAACCGGGTACTATGCTTGGTATTTTACATATATTATCAAATTCAACCCTATCAACTGTGGGATAAAATACTACCATAACCATTTTAAAAGACAAGGAAACAGAGACTCTGAAACCAATAACCAACAAGGCCAGAATTCAAACCTATTCTAACTCCAATGAATATGTTCTTCTCACTACATTATTTACTTCTACAGAAGAAAAAGAAGAGCAAGTCATTAAGGATATGGAATCTTTCCTAATACTAGGAAGCTACGTAGAATCACCTTTCAAATTTATAATTTTTCAAAATAAGTGAAAAAGTAAAAAATAAGTAATAAAACAGCCACATTAACAAAACAAATTTTATCTTACCCTCTCTTTCTCTGTAATATCTGAAATAATTTACTTTGATACCCAATGTCACCTTTGGGATGTACATGCACCCACACGCAAAAGTCATGTGTGTACCTGTGTTTATGTTCCTCTGTATATGTATGTATGCATGTACATATACATGCATATACGTGTTTGCACATCTATATGAACACACACATATAAAATAATGTAGAATTCAGTGCCAAATTATCTACTATCAATTAAGAAACACCACCACTCTCTTCTAAGATCTCAGCACTACAAAAGAGAAGCTGGAAACCACTTCCCAGAATTTCCTTCTCTGAATGAATCCTAATTAATTTGATAATGGAAACATGTATGAAATCTGAATAACGAAAGTTGAGGAGAAACCATCATTTTCCAAATGAGGTTGCAGCAGATGCACTGGCAGATATGAGAAACACGGTGGCTTCCAGCTGAGCCTGTTGCAAACCACTACAATGCTGCAGCAAATCTTTTCAAAGATTCTTAAGGAATCCAGCAGATCCCCAGATAGCATGTAAGGAACACCCACTACAGTGCTTCAGACTGAGATTTTCACCTTTAGCTTCTCTGACCTTCAGCAGCAGCTTCCATGACCTTTGCATCTCTGGCCCTTCTACAAGTCATTTAAGCTCCCTAATTTTATATCAACTTTTTACACCATAGTACATAGACTAGCTTCTTCTTTCCTGACCAATTCCTCCCACCAATAATCTATAGCACAGGAAAGGATTGGTTCCAAGAGAAAGAATCTTAAATACAGAAATCTTGGATCAGATCTTTCTTAGATTTGAATAGTGACTTCAACGCCAGTGTCAAATAGAACACTGATAGTCTATAGCATCCAGTGGAAAAACTGCTATCTTTTATTATTGCCCTTAGTTCCCGAGAGTCTAGGCAAAGCTTCAGAAGAACAAACACTGTATCAATAGAATGTTATGGTGAAAGTAAGAGTGAAAGGACTACAGAATGAGCTCATTACCCCTTCTTACATTGAAAGTTACAGAAGAAATATAACAAGGTCAGGGCCCAAGTTCCCAACTCAAGACTAAGAGAACAGACAACTTCCTAATGACCCCTACAAGTTTCTTAATTCTTTTGGGCAAAGGGCTGAGGTTTCAAAAAAGCAAACTCAAAAAGCCTAATCTAGTTAGAATTTAAATTGCAAAGTACACTGCAAACTGAATTCACAATATCACATCTGTTATGTTAGACTTTTAAGTGTAAAAAAAAGATTTCCAGAAATGGCATTGGAATTTTAGGCAGCTTCTTATTCATCTTAATACTGCAAAACCCCAACCTTAACAAATCTCCTTTGCCAGCAAAAAACTATCTTAACTCCCAATTTGAGATTGCATTCACAATGCCTAAAGACCTCACATCAAGCAGTCACTTTTCAGGAAAATGTAGATCCTCCTCTAGACCACCCTACCAAATCTCTCAGTGCTTCTAGAACAATAATTAAACTTGAGTCCTCACAGACAGACAGGAAGATGAGTATAAATCTGATCCAAGAGCAGCTACTCTTCACACCAAAGTGTTATAAAATTTTGCCAGTTTTTATTAATAGAACCCTAAAAAGCAGGTATGGGAATGAATTCCAAGATTTCCAGGGAGAAAAGAATTTATTGATATAGATCTAATTCCAGAAATTCCAAACTCAATATATTAGCACTAATAGTTGAGAGCATCCCCAATAGTTTGGTAAGCAAGTTAACTGAAACCTGGATGCAACAGTGGCCTACTTACATGAGATACTAGTGATCCTCATATACATTACAGGAAGATCAAAGGCCCAAGTAGATGGACTACTGAAAGGCATTTATTATATGCAACTTGCTCATCTACACCCTTATTAGGTTCACTGAAAGAGTCCAAAGGGTACTATCTTTATGGGCATCATTGAAAGCTCTTTAATGCAGGTTAGAGATAGCAAAGATGCCTACTCTGAAATGAGCTCCCTAAATTTAATGGATGATGAAATTCATTAAGAGGAGGAGTGGTAACACCTTCTTTGAGACAAAGCAAACATGATAAACACAAGGAGTAGCAAAAGTAATTATGGAAAATTATTTAGTGATTGATAGGAGTATTTAGTCATTTAGGAATTAGGTACTAATACTTGGCTACAATATGGATAAGCCTTGAAAACCTTGTGTTCAGTGAATGTACAAAACGTTCTAAACATTTTAAATGTGACGATTAGTGCAGTCACAATGTTAGATGACCATTACTACTGTCTAGTTCCAAAACATCTGCAATCTGTTTTCTAGGTCTATGCATTTATCTATTCAAGGCACTTCGCATAAATGGAGTCACACAATATATGACTTTTAGGATCAGGCTACATTCACTGACTAAATTATTTTCCATCATAGGATATATCACATATCATTTATCCATTCATTAGTTGATACGTATTTTGTGACTTCCACATTTTTGGTCATTGTAAATACTGCTATATAAATTGCTATCTTTTTAAATTAGTAGATAGATATTTAATCATCTTTCCATCCTTTCTATGGTAATTGATCTATTTAAGTTTTAACTTCTATGGGGTGAGTCACATAATTTATATTTTATTAGGAAATCATGTACTTTAAAATTTTCAAATGAACTGTTATAGAGCAGGATATAATCTCTTTCTTTGTCAAATCGTTTTTCTGTCATTGGTTCTATCTTCTTTTATTCCAAATCTTCTAGTTTTTGCTCTCTTTTTTCATTAGTAAAATTTGAAGAGGTTTAGCTATTTTATTGATCTGCTCAAAGAAACAGCTTTGTGTATATTTATCATTTCTACATTTTTGTTTTCTATTTTATTCATTTCAGTTATTTCTTTTATTAATTCTTCCTAGCTTCCCTTGATATATATTTTACGTTCTTTAAATAAGAACTTATTTCTCTTAATTTTTTTGTCTTTCTTCTGTGGTAATGAAGGAATTTTAAACTAAATATTTTCCCTGATTATAGCTATGCTATTCTATAGATATTGCTATAATATGACTTCCTTATTATTGTTTTTTTGATAATTTGTAATTTCCTTCTCAAACATAGGTTACCTCAGATTATGTTTTATAATTTCCTATTAGTGCAGGTTTATCATATTGTAATAACTTATTTCTAAATTTTGTAGACTATAATCAGATATGTGACCTGCAAAATCATTTTAGAATATATTAGATTTTTTTTTTAAGATTTATTTATTTATGCATACAAGAGCTGAGGTATAGGCCAGAGATGCGGGGGGGGGGGGGGTTGCGGGGTGCAGTGAGAGAGGATTCACCAGAGACAGTGGGGAATAGAACGGGCAGATTGACCAAAGTACACTACTGAGGGGAGCAGCAGGCAAGTCAGGAGAGGTCTGCTGTGCCATGTAGGTTGCTCCCTGGCCAGCCTGGGATTGAACTTGTGCTGCAGAGGTTGCGGATTGCTTCATACTGCAGTGCTTATAACCCCTTGCGCCACCAGGGAGGCCCTATTAGATTTTTTAAATCAATGGTCCACAAACATACCAAAAAAATAGAAGGAATGCAAAAAAAAACATAGATATACAGATATATAGTTATTTAAATATAGACATGAATACCTCATAATGTATTTACATATATAATTAAGTTTACTGATTATAATATTTAACCCCTCTGTGTCTTTTCTCTTTTTTTCTATTATTCCATACAATTCCACGAGACAATAATGTCAGGACTCTACTTTTGTTAGAACCCCCTGACATTTCTAGTGTTTTTTACTCTCACAGTGTCTGACACATATGTATTTCATTATAACTATTAGAGCTTGTCCTTCATAACATTACCTAATGTCCCTTTTTATTCAATAGAGATCTTTTAGCCTTGAGTAATTTATCTGAATATATACTGCTATTCCCCCGTTTAGTATTTTCTTTTTTTGCTGTTCTAACAGATATCTATGTCATTTTAATTTGCAATTACCTAACATGGTTAATGATGTTGAGCAACTTTTCATGTGCTTATGTGCCATTTGTCTATCTTTGCTAAAATCTGCCCAGATTGTTCATCCATTTCATTTTTAAATGATATCTTTGAGATGTTTTTGAGAGTTTTAAAATACATATATTCCAGATGCAAGTTCTTTGTCAGAAATATGGTTTGGTTTGCAAATATTTTCTCTTTGTCCATGGCTAGTCTCTTCATTTTCTTAATAGTACCTTTTGCTAAGGAAAAAACTTTCAACACTAAGAAGTCCAACTTTTTAAATTATTTTTACACAAGGAAAAAAATTTTTTTAATTATGTATTCAATCCACTTGGTGTGTTTCAAAAGGTGCAATACTTTTCTTCATTTAACAGTGAAAGAAGTTAGAAATAAACTTCAAAAAGGAAAAATCAATGGCAAACAAATTTCCTCACAGTCATATATAATGCATCCTAGAAAAGCATGAAAGACCCTTACAAATTCATTTTGATTGCTACAGAATATACTCATGTTTTACCATTATTCAATTCAAGCATGTCTTTTAGTGAAAGATGAATATGACATAGTATTTTGATTTTTGTCAATCATCTGAATGCTACTTTCATATTTTTTGTACTTACCCTTCTCCAAGCTTTTCTAATACATCAAAAACTTCTTCAGGTTGCTTAGTCAAACTATCTTCACTCAGCTTTTTTAGCTTACTGATGAGAGAAAACAAAAATAAAATATTTCCTCAAGATTGTTTATAAAATTTTCAACTTTATTCTTACCAGACAATATATTAGATATTTCAAAAATCAAACAACATAAGCATGTATACAGTAGTCACCTTCCAATCTCTGTTCTTTAATCTGCCCAGAAGCAGCATCAAAAACATTAAGTCAATCCACAAGGTAATTTACATTCCTACTAGGAAAATTCTATAAATCCCTTAAACTCAAACAAAGCCCTGCATCAATAATGTTATTTACAACGCCAAGATTTCAATCAAAAATTACTAGACATATGGGCCTCCCCAGTGGTGCAGCGGTTGAGCGCTGGGCTGCGAAGCTGCCTGCAGCCTCTGCAGTGCTGGTTCGATCCCTGGCCAGTGGGGAGGGTCCCACATGGTGCGCAGACGAGACATCTCCTGTCACACCTGCTGCTTTCCTCAGCAGTGTATTTCTTCAGTCTGCCTGTTCTGCTCCCTGCTCTGGCTCTGGTGGATTCTCTCACCCTCCCGCACTTCTGACTGTACCCAGTGCTTGTATAAATAAATAAATAAATCTTTTTTAAAAATTACTAGACATATGAAAATTCATGAACTATGACACAAAGGGAGAAAATTTAATCAATTAAAACAAACAGAAATGATAGAGATGGTAGTGTTAACATGTCTCAAAAAACATATGAAAATAGATATTCTATCAAACGTTTCTCAGATCATAATGGTGTAAAGCTAGAAATTAACCACAAAAAGAATCCTGGAACAAACCAAAACCTGCGGAGACTGAATAAAATATCACCTCATCCCTATGAGAATGGTTCTATCAAAAAGAATGGAAACAAATACTGGTGAGGATGTAGAGAAAAAGGAACGCTCATCCAGTATTGGTAGGAATGCAGTTTGGTGCAGCCTCTATGGAAAAAGGTATGGAGATGCCTTAAAAAAACAAAAATAGAAATTACATATAATCCAGCAACCACTGATAGGTAATAAGCAAAAGAACATGAAAACACTAATACGAAAAAGATTTATGGACTCCATTGTTCACAACAGCACTACTCACAACTGCCAAGTCATGGAAGCAACCTAAGTGCCCTACAATAGATGACTGGATAAAGAAACTGTGGAAAATATACTAAGTGGAATAATACTAAGTTATTTAAAAAGATAAAATAGCTCCTTTTGGAACAAAATGGATGGACTTTGAGATGATTATGCTAAGAGAAATAAGTCAGAAAGTGAAAGAGAGATAACAGATGGTTTCATTAATCTGTGGAATCACAGCAAAACACAGCAAAGCAACTTAGACTCTGGGAAACATACACTGGTTACCAGAGGGAACAGGCAGGAGAAAGGAAGGACAAAGGAGGGTTAGTGGAAGGTGAGTAAAACGTGAACATATGGAGATGAGAAGCTGTTAACCTCAAAGTTCAAGAGATATGTAAATGACTGACAAATATGTATCAATTTTTTTAAAAAGGCATGTTTCTGAATACATAAACTATATGTAGATAGCAGTTTATCATTTACCGCCATAAAATACCTAAAAATATATTATAAAAAGTTAAAATATACCAAAACATTTATGCTTATGCTCACAAACACAGATACTATACGGCCATCAGCAGTCAAGAAAAAAGTACGCAAATCAACAGCGGGGTATTAAGTTTTGGAGGAGTGAAAAGTTACATGGGGTGGGGGCAACCTTTTGTTCAAGAGTGAACTGTGTTTGAAATAATGGTGGAAAAGGGAAGAAAAGGGTGGAAAGGGGAGGAAGAAAACCCATTTGTGAATTTTAACTAAGATTCACAAATAGCACTGCAGGATTTGAGATCAGAAGTCATGAATTTTAAATGGCAACTACTAAGGTTGCATATTTTCTTCAAAACCACTCAGAAATCTTAAGGTAAGCAAGAGAGACAGCAGACAACAGAATTAAGTGTTTTGTTAGGCAGAAGAACATGGCCAGAAAAGAATTCTGCCATGCATAGAAGAATGAGATGAGGGAGTTAAAGATATTGACAGAAAAATGTCTGATACATGGGACAGGCAGAGAAAGAAGAGTGAAATAAAAAGATACAATGAATTTTTTTAAAAAAAAGCATATTCCTACCAGAAAAAGAAGCCTGTCTCTTCAGCAGCATTGATACTGTGTCTCAAAAAACAAATTCACTTCATGTCCTTTATGGCTAAGCAAACACAAGTAGCTCAAGATGAGCCATGCACAAGATACAGCAATGGAGGCAGCATATATTAACAAATCACTTTAATGCTAAGCCAAAAAGTAATCTAACCACTACGCAATTCTTCAGGAGTTATAAACAATTTCTTCAAAGCAGGTTCATAATCTGGTTTACTTTAAACAAACAAGTCATAGGTCCCCCAAATGAATCTAGGAAACACTTAATGAGAATTTAGTCCACACATCTCATTTTCTCAACATGTGGAACAATTGAAATGTTATTAATTTAACTTAGGCAAAAAAATGGTCTCTGGGGTGTTTGTCAAATGAAAACACATGACTTATTTTGGTAAATGATTCCTGCTTTATGTCATTTTGTCTTTATTTTTTCTTTCCTTTCTGGTGTTTTAAATGAAAACTGATCATTTCAGTTATGGTTTAATTTTAAGTAATTCTTATATTGTCTGCTTTTCAAACCCTCACAGTATAAAAAATATCCTATATATACACGCAACACATTTTCCTATTTTCCTGTCTTGGCAAACACAATATAATAAACATAATTTCATCTGTGTTTGACATATTATGGTTTTTAACACCTCAGAATTTCATCATAACTACTACGTTTTTAATCACAGGTCCAAAAAAATTCTCAACTATACACTCTTCCAGGTGCTAGGGAATCTTGTGAGCAAGTCACCCACTCTTATAGCTCTCTAATGGAATATGATATTACATACCCAGGCAGACATATTCTAGAACTGGTTTTTGTTTTTAATAAAATTTTCCTGATTTACCATTGTTATACAAACATTTAAATTTCAAGATTATAGCTTCACACCTGGATATGTGTAAATGTCTCACCACACCCACCACGTGTAGGTTAGACATTCTGGTTTCCCTGTCATTTGACTTTATTCATAAAATAAGAGATAAGAAGATAATCTGTGTAGGGTAAAGAAAATATCAGGCTTTTCTGCCCTTCCGCCATCAGGATAGATGATGGATCCTTGTCCTGAATGCATGCCTGATGGTGGGCACCTGAAGTGGGTACACCTGAGCTAAGAGACTGATTTATAAGGGTGGTGCAGCAGAGTGCGGTATGGTGGTAGTGCCGTGTTTAAGGGTGGAGGAGTGGAGTGTACGGAGGAGTGCGGCGACTACAAACCACAGCGAAGAGCATGAGGCTGCTAGAACCATTCATAAACCTGCTCAGAATGGGTTGGTTGCTTTACAATTGGCGTAAGTCGGCAAGATGATCCATGCAGACGGGTATTGGAGCCCTCCGAAGACCTGGAGGGACTAAGGAGTAACAGTGTTTGCCTGTGACAACGCTGAGGGCGCCATGGGGCACAGAAGATGGATACGGTCCAGGAGCTGCAGGACGGGACCTGGCATGAAGGAGACGCCCAAGAGGACCAGCCTACGACACCCGAAAGGACCGGCCAACGACCCCTGAGGCAGCAGAATCGTCGGGGAGGAGAGGACCATGATACAGCGCTCGCCGGTGCTGATGCAGGGAGAGGCCAATGGACTTCAACTGATGGACATGGACTGATAAACTTGGACTGACAATCCCGCCAGAAGGCGGAGGACCTTGGCAGGTTATGTTTTTTTTTTTTTTTTTTGAGAATCTGGGGGTGGCCAGTGGGCCTTGATGGCCAAAAGCAGCCTGTGTATGCCCAGCAGCCAGGTGGAGGAGAAAAGCCAACTGAGAAGGCAAAAGCTGGTACAGATGCTAAGTTGAGAAGCCCTGAGTGGCTGTTAAGCAGCCTTAGTATGCTGAAGACCTGTGAGTCTTGTAAAATCACCTGTGGGTGATGCCCTGCTCATTCTTGAGTGAGGGTGAGGAGCTGAGGAACATGTCCTTGGGGGATGGGTGGGGAACGTGGCTTGGGGTAGAGCCCAAGCCAAATGTAGAGTTTGGATCCCCGACCCATGTGCTTGTGCAGTGGGCTGGCTTGAGTGCAGGGGTCTTCGAGTCGCATTGGTGGCTGTGAAGGCCGAGTGTTGGAGCGACTGCAGACAGAAACCCTGAGGGTTGGCGATTACCCCCAACAGAATAAAATTGCCAGTCCCAGAGCTAGTGCATCCTGGGGGTGGATGCTGTGTGTGGCTTGTAGCCGAGACTACAGTCAGAGAAGGCCAGGAAGTCTGACGGCTCCTGGCATGTTGCAATAGATGTCGTGAGTGATTCCCCTCCCTTGTATGAGCAGTGCCTTCGGCAACAGATTTGGTGGCTCATCTGCTGGTACCAATAATTGTCTTTTGCACTAGGTTGGTGCCCTGCCTGGACTTATTTGTGTTCTGTTGTATTTTGTTATATTTGATGTATTTGCCATGGCTGCATTGTTTGATTGCTTAGAAAATTGTATATATATGTATAACTGTATGGCAGAAAACCCTGAGGGGGTGGACTGTAGGGTAAAGAAAATATCAGGCTTTTCTGCCCTTCCGCCATCAGGATAGATGATGGATCCTTGTCCTGAATGCATGCCTGATGGCGGGCACCTGGAATAGGGTGTGGGCATAGGTAGACGGGATTCACCTGGGCTGAGACTGTGCTTTTAAGGGCGGCGTCACGGGGACGCCAGGAGCAGCAGCAGAAGCCAAAAGGGAAGCTGAGAGAGAAGCAGAGAAGCAGAAGCAGAGAATGCCAGAGAGCCCAGATAGAGTGAGGATTTGCGGAGGGGCTGGGAGGACTGCCAGCCTCCCGGCCCCCCAGCACCCCTGCCTGCCATATGCCTGGTGAACCCCAATAAAAGACCTGCAAAAACCCACTAAGGACTGATTCCTCCTTTACCTGGTCTGCA